ATCCGACATACTGTTTGTATGTTTTTATGTACATATGTAAAATAAATAAATTCGATATCCATATATCGATATGGTTCATCAATACTATCGGTAAAAAACGATGGTCAGTAATATCGACAATCTCTATCGCGTAGGTTCAATAGGTATTGCTGCTGCTTGAAGCACTGCCACTGAATATGGTTCGCTGTTGCAAGAGGCAGATAGCAATAGTACAAAAACGAACAAATTTCGATTTATAGTCTAGCATAAGCAAAAAAGCGAGAAGGAGGTAACTAACTGAAATTGCTCGTTAATATGATATTGGTATAGTAAAACATTTAATATTGATACGACATCCATAAATCGGTCTCCCATATCAATAAAGCTAGAACAAAACAATATTGTTCAGGGATCATCTGAATTTTTATGGAGTAGAAATATGATTTGTTACCGTGGCTATCACAAATGGATATCGCATGAAATATCTTAGTAACAATAGTGAAATTGACACGTTATCCCAAGCATTTCTCTCCGTGTAGTATACCCTCGGTAATAGCGACAGATAAGAATCAGTGGCTGTTGCGATAACCGAGGTTGTCGCGATTACCGGGCTTTTTTTTATTATAAAATTAAAGATAAAAACAACAAAAATGTTGTCATCAATTTCATACACATGCATGTATTTTATAAATTCACTCTTCGTACTTCTCCACCAACAAATTTCAGCTAATACTGTGTCAGGAAATTTATATCCAAGCAACCTTCGCAAGCTGTTGAAACCGCTCGATTTGTTCGCCTAATTCAGTTAATAACTGTTGCCTAGAAAGGAGTGTACTCGTATCCAAAACTATCAAACGTTTTAGAAAACTTTTACTGGTTTTGCATTCTTGTACCCTAAAAACTTGCAAAGTTGGGAAAATTGAGAGAGCAAGATGTGATAGAGAGCTGGAAATTTCTGCTGAAAAAAATTGTACCAGCGAAAACTTGCAAGTAAGAAAATCAGCTGATCACAAACACATGATTGTAAATAAAGAAACAAAATATGGCATTTTTGAGTTATTGCAAATTTTATTATTAATGCTAGTATACAACGAAAAAGTGAGTAAATTTATTAAGCACAACGTTTGTTGAGTTTATTTTTAGTTAATTTACTATAAATCTCCAGTTTGTTTACTTAGTGTACATATGTATGTTTGTGTGTTTTCAGCTACATATATTATCTATATATATAAAAATGAATTGCTGTTCGTTAGTCTCGCTAAAACTCGAGAACGGCTGGACCGATTTGGCTAATTTTAGTCTTGAATTATTTGTGGAAGTCCAGGGAAGGTTTAGGAGGTGAGTAAATATGATAAAAATGCTAGGAATCTAATAAAAACAACAACTTTGTTTTTCCTTAGAAATAGGAATGGTCGATTATCATTGATTTTAACTTCAGTTGTTTACTATCTGTCAGATTAATTTTATGTAGATTGAAAAATTTTAAATTTTGTCGCAAATTAAATTTATGAACGCGACCACAATATTTGACATTTGACAACCAACAAATAGATCGATCCTTTATGTCGGTGGATTCCTCTTATGACAAATAGTGCATCCTTCTATCTTTGTGAGTGACGGTTACCGCTACGTGCGCGAGAACATTCTTTACTTCGGTGATCCTTTGTGATAGTGATATTTCAAGTTACGTGCTCTGTTTTTTTGATCTTTTGTGATAGTGACACCTTATCGCTAAGTGCGCGAGAACTTTCTTACTTTGTTTACGATGCCGAGGAGAACACGACCTGACTTAGGTCGTCGCAGTCAATCAAATGTGCGAAGAGCTACCTCACGTGCTAACCGCACTGATGACCAGAGAGCGACAGATCGAGAAAATAGTCGTATTGCTATGTCTGAATTGCGTTCTTTAATGAGTGACAATGAAGTAGATAGGCTTAGAATGCGACGAGTTCATGCACATCAAACACAACAACAGCGAGCACGACATAATGAAATTGAGAGATCCCGCAGACGCAGTGCTCCTGTGATCCTGGAACGAGCTGCATTCCACTATGATCCGGCAATAGATTATTATGCCGACAAATCGGTAACAATTGGGGAAATGACAATGATTTGTAAATATTGTAAGGCGTTAAAATACAGTGGTGAATCTACTGGATTATGTTGTGCTGGGGGCAAAGTAAAATTGCCACAATTGGTCCCACCACCAGACCCCTTACGCTCTTTAGTTTCTGGGATGGGAAATGATTCTAAACACTTCTTGGCCAACATTCAAAAATATAACACCTGTTTCCAGATGACATCATTTGGCGCAACACATATTGTACAGGACAATTTCATGCCCACCTTCGAGGTATTATACCATAATAGTTTTTTGTATATTCAAGTTTGTATTGGAATATGTATCAGATATAATTATTTGGCAAATCTTTAAAAATTACAGATACAAGGACAAAATTTATCACTTACTGGGGGCGCTGTTACCACTACAAGATGCAGATTATCAATTTTTACAAATTTATTTTATGGGCAATTCAGATGCGGAAGTTGATAAGCGATGTGCTCATAATCCAACAGTGAAGAGAACCATTGTCCAAGGATTACAAATGTTTCTTCTTCAGAACAACAATTTAGTAAACATGTTCAAAATAGCATTGGATCGGATGCCATCCGACAGCCATAATATTGTCATTCGAGCTGACAAAACACCTGCCGTTGAACACACATGGAGGTTTAATTCGCCCACCATTGACGAAGTGGCTGTTGTCATTGTCGGAGAAAATTTACAATCTAGCGATATTGTGCTTCATCGTCGGGATAATTATTTGAAACGTGTATCTGAAACACACAGGACTTATGATGCGTTACAATATGCTTTGATCTTCTGGCAGGGGGAAGATGGATACCATTTTAATATAAAAATGGTTAATCAAGTAACAGGTGCTGAAACCAACAAAAAAGTTAGTGCTATGAATTTTTATTCATACAGACTCATGATCCGTGAAGGTGAAGTAAATCATATTTTGATGTGTCGACGGCTTTTCCATCAGTTTGCAGTTGACATGTATGTCAAAATTGAGACTGAACGATTGACATACATCCGTTTGAACCAACGACAGTTTCGATCAGAGGAATACATTCATCTCCGCGATGCTATAAATGCTGATGGCAATGTGAATAATCTGGGAAGAATGACAATTTTGCCAGCCACTTACATAGGAAGCCCGCGCCACATGCACGAATATGCTCAAGATGCTATGCCATATGTTAGGCATTATGGCCGCCAAGACTTATTTGTTACATTCACCTGTAACCCACAATGGTCCGAAATCAAGAGGGAATTGCTACATAGCCAAACACCAGTTGATAGACATGACATCACTGCCAGAGTTTTCAAACAAAAATTGAAATCTCTAATGAATTTCTTCATAAAGCATCGCGTGTATGGCCAAGTTCGTTGTTGGATGTACTCTGTAGAATGGCAAAAGCGTGGTCTGCCACATGCGCACATTTTAGTCTGGTTAGTGGACAAAATAAGGCCCGATGAGATTGATTCCATAATTTCAGCTGAAATTCCAGATGAAACAGTTGACCCAAAATTGCATGCAGTAGTTACCAAACACATGATACATGGACCTTGCGGAGTTTTCATTCCATTTAGCAGTGCATTTAGAAAATGGACAACGAGTATATTTTAATGAAGGGAACGCGGCAGACAGAGCGGCATGTCCACCGATGACAACATTAACAAGTTTCTTCACAGTTTGCCAAACTGATGATTTTGCTCGCACTTTGCTGTATGCTGATATGCCACGCTATTACACATGGAATGCATCATCAAAATCGTTTCAGCGTCGAAAACAAGGAACACCAGTTGAAGGACATCCAAATATATTTGTTTCAGACGCTCTGGGTCGCATCTACACAGTACATCCAAATAACGATGAATGTTATTATCTGCGGTTGTTGTTAGTGAATGTTCGTGGTCCGACATCGTTTCAACAACTGAGAACAGTTAATGGAAATCTGTGTGCGACTTACCGTGAGGCATGTCGACTATTACATTTACTCGAGAACGATTCGCACTGGGATGATACGATCAAGGATTCCGTAATATCTTCATCGCCACATCAAATTCGTACATTGTTTGCGATTATCATATCGACATGTTTCCCCTCGAATCCAAACAATTTGTGGGTTAAGTATAGGGATGACATGTCTGAGGATGTTTTGCATCGTGAACGCCGTCAAACTTTGAATTCTACACTACAAATGACTGCAGAAATTTACAATGAGACATTGATCATGATAGAAGATATGTGTTTATTGATGGCAAATAAAGTATTGTCGTGTTTGGGGATGACAGCACCCAATCGTCATATGCACGACGCATTAAACCACGAGCTGCAAAGAGATCAACAGTATGACACTAAAGCATTGGCCGAAACAGTTCGCACAAATGTGCCACAATTAAATCAACAGCAAAGAATTGCGTACGACACTTTGATAGAAGCTGTGAACAGTGGATCTGGTGGACTTTACTTCCTTGATGCTCCCGGAGGGACCGGGAAAACTTTCTTAATTTCATTGCTTTTGGCGAGGATCAGATCGCAAAATGATGTAGCTCTAGCGCTGGCTTCATCTGGAATAGCTGCGACTCTGCTAGAAGGCGGGCGAACTGCACATTCTGCCTTGAAGTTACCATTGAACATGCAAATCAATGAAACACCAATTTGCAACATCGCCAAAAATAGCGCAATGGCCAAGATCCTACAGGTATGCAAATTGATTGTTTGGGACGAATGCACAATGGCCCATAAGAGGTCACTGGAGGCACTGGACAGAACGTTGAAAGATCTTCGTGACAACCAAGATATTTTTGGTGGGGCCATGATTCTGTTGTCAGGTGATTTTCGTCAGACTCTTCCAGTTATTCCACAACTGTTGCTGATGAACTAAACGCATGCCTAAAATCATCAAATTTGTGGCGGCACGTAAAGACACTGCAATTAACAACTAACATGCGAGTATTTTTGCAACAAGATGAAACTGCAAATGTGTTTTCGAAGCAGTTGTTAGACATTGGAAATGGTAAAGTCCCAATGGACACCTCGACCGGATTCATCACATTACCCACAGATTTCTGTCACATCACACACTCAAAAGAAGAGCTTATTCAGCGTGTTTTTCCAGATATAGCGCATCAGTTCAATAACCGTAATTGGCTGGGTGAACGAGCAATATTGGCGGCGAAAAATAAAGATGTCGATGATCTCAATGCGACCATTCAGAATTTTCTTCCGGGACAGTTGGTTTCCTTCAAATCAGTCGATACCGTTATAAACCAGGATGACGTAGTTAACTATCCGACGGAGTTTTTAAATTCACTGGAATTGGCAGGACTACCACCTCACAATTTGCAGTTAAAAGTAGGATCAGTTGTCATCATGCTGCGTAACATTAATCAACCTCGACTGTGCAACGGAACAAGACTGACTGTGAAAAAGATAATGAAAAACGTCATTGAGGCAACAATCATAAAGGGAAAATACAAAGGAGAGGATGTCTTGATCCCGCGTATACCGATGATTCCAACGCATTTACCATTCGATTTTAAACGTCTACAATTTCCCGTGCGTCTGGCCTTTGCGATGACCATTAATAAATCCCAGGGCCAGTCGTTGGAAGTTTGCGGAATCAACTTGGAGTTTCCCTGTTTCGCGCATGGACAATTATACGTCGCGTGTTCGCGCGTCGGAAAACCTTCATCTTTGTTTATTTACGCACCACAAAACAAAACAAAAAATATAGTTTAACAGAAAGCTTTAAATTGATTAACAGAGTGTATCGTAACTGTGTGTGTGTCAATATCAAATTGAAACCTTATAAATAGCCAGTATTTTAGACAAACTTTTTTTTGTAAGTATGTAATTGTTGTGACGTGACTATTTTTGAGCAACATCAAGTGTACAATATTTTTTAACTAATTTGTAGCTTTTTAATATTTGTAAACTATTATAAGTAACATCATAATAAGAAAACTTGACCACCTATATTTTATCTGTGTTGTATTTAATGTAGATAAAGATATTATATTAATTTGTATTGTAAGCGATTAAGGCAGTACGAAGGCAGTCTCTCTAACGTTTTTAGCAAAAACGAAGAGACTGATAGGCCTAAAATCCCTACGGGAAACATCAGAGCCTTTTCCGGCCTTCGGGATGAAAGCAACACTGACTACCCTCCAAGCCTTGGGGACGTACCCGGGCCTCACGCAGTTCACATAAATAGGATCCAACCAATTGCACGACACCTTCAGAGCCCTTTGCAGTTGCGCAGGTGTGATGCTATCGGTCCCCGGCGACTTTAATGGTTTAAACGAATTTATCGCCTAGGCCATGTGACGATCATCCAGAAGAAGGGAGAAACAAACGCAAAAACATTTATATCATGCGTCAAAAAGTGCGATAGCGATCCGAAAATTGTCGCTAACTGGTTACAGAATCGCCCTCCTGAAGTACAAAATTTTGCAAAGAAGTACATTTGACTGTACTTCAAAGTACGAAGTACAAGAGCGCAAAAATAAGTACTCTACTTCCGAAAGAAGTACGGTTGGTCACATTAGGTATTCACAACGGTGTCGTAACTGTCGTATTGTTGTATTGTGTTAACTTTAAACTCCTAAAAGTATATTACGGGGGTTCGCAAAGTACCATCAAATTCATATTATGAATTTTTGCAGTGTTAAAAAGTAGTTGGTTGTGTTTTCAGGTTATCTTGACATTTATTTAAGCTTTTAAAGGTAAAGTTAGTGAGGTAAACAAAATCCGCGCTATAAGAAAAAGGATTTTCTTCTAATTAATTTTTGAATTCTTTAACCTAGATCCAAGAGTTTATGGTGGATACACTGCATCTCGAAATTTTCCATTTTATCAACGCTTAAGTTTTGGCTTATATATACCAAATACAACTAAAACTTTCTGGAGCTAAAAAAGTGCTAGATAAATTTGAAAAGAGCTAAAGAAAGAGCTAGGAGCTAAAACCCAATTTTCGGAGCTAAATGGAAAAATAAAGAGCTAAATCTAGCTCCAAAAGCACCAACATGGCAACACTGAATGGCATCGTTAACAATACGGCAGCACTATTCAGCGCCGTCGTAATGTTGGTAGCGCAGTTGGAACATACGTTTCACAGGTAAACAAAACGAGTAAAAAAACGAACGTTAAATTTTAATGATACATACGCCGTCAAGCCATTCAGTTGTGTAATATTACGTTCAAATTGGCCCCATTTAACTTGTTAAATGAAAAAGAGCTTTTTGGAAAACACAATCGTCCACATTGAACATTTGGAGTTAACTTTGACGGTTGTTTGATTACCAATAAGAATTAAAAAAAAATATTCAAAATCAAGTTATTGTGTTTCAATTTGTTTTGTGCGAATGTCTGCTTCATGATATTAACGCATACGTATAACTTAGAGACTTCAAAATGTTTAGTTCGTATGCACTATTTATCTCTGCGTTCGATGAGACCTCTTGGGAAATAACTAATTACCGCCTTGGCCTCTTTTTTGGCGGGCAGACATGCATACAATTTTGATATTTTTTGATAATTTTTTATTTTTAATATTTTTCAGAATATAAACTTTTGGAACGTTGGCGTGTCCAATGAAAGCTTTTGGGTCTTTCTGATTGGTCGGAGCAGAAAGCTTTCTGATACAACTCTGCGCTGAACTGGTTTTCAAACGAGTTAAATGATTTAACTGGTTCAATTTTCCAACAACAATTGCATGCAATTTAACTTGTTTATGAACATGTTTTGTTCACTTAACTGGTCCAAACCCATTTAACATGTTTAGCTCGTCAATTTGAACGTAGTATAAGATTTATGTTAAAAGTAAATTTAATAAAATATTTTTGACAAAAGTCTAAAAACCCGCTTTTTCAATCGGAAGTAGTTTTGCACGCGAAACAAAGTTAAACTCATCTAACAATTTTTTGCATCCAGCGTTTTTTAAGCTAAATTCTTGAGCGAACTAAAGCAGATCGTACCGTGCAAAGAAAACCACCGGCCAATCCCAAGGAGAACAGGCAGATTTACTGCGGCCGATAGAGAAACCATCAAAAAGACTCGGGAAGCATCAGAAGATTCCAGGTTCTGGGGTAAGCGAGTGTCATTTACATAGTGTGTGCGTGAATATACGCGCTAGAAGGAAACAGTTTGCCTAGCGCCCTGAACGGCAGGGGCGACTAGCAAACACTATTTTGTACAGCACAGTACGGTGGATGGGCAAAATTTCATCTCAGTGGACCGTAGCGGGCGGCAGTACTGCATAAGCCGTGTAACGCCTTATAATACGTTGTTGCATTTTTGTGTGCTGTTTTTTCCCACACAACGGTAAACCGTGCAAACACCAGCAGCAGCAGTACTGCATGAGTCCGCTATCACCACCGAAAATGGCATTTTGCACATTGGCAAACTGTACAAGGTACGACAAAAAGCCCTGCTACCACGAACAACGGCAGCGTAGTACGCACATATACATAAGTGAAACGGCGCCTGACGAAGCCACGCATCCAGCAACTGTAGAAAATAATTAGCGGCAAAATTGCACCGCTAATTGCACCCACGCCAACAAAATAGCGGCACACAACCGAGCAACATCGTAAAATATAACAACATGTGACTGCGGCGGAGGAACAACATCAAGCTCAGACTGCTGCGAAGGATTAGCATCAGCGACTTGCGGTTCGTTTAGTTAGAGTTTAAGAACATGATATATATATTCACATTTAACTTTTGCCTTTAATTCTTTTAAAAAAATATTCTCAAATTCAAATTTAGAGGAGTAACATTCAAATTCAAACTTTAAATTTTTGCGACACTTTAAAATTAGTAATTAAACGAATTTCAAATTCATTTTCATTATTTTGCTATAAGTGACTTACAAATTCATTTTGATCATTTAGCTCTAGGTGACTTTCAAAATTAAATTTCATTATTTAGCTTTAAGGGATTTGAGGTATTAAACCTATTTTTCAACGTCATTCTCATTTTTTCTTAGCTTTAAGTGACTCAAGGCATTAAAGCAATTTTTCAAATCTATTTTCATTATTTAACTTTAAGTGATCCAAGGCATTAAAGCCACTTTTCAGATTCATTTTCAATATTTAACTTTAAGTGATTCATTTTCATTATTTAGCTTTAAGTGATTTAACCATTTTTTTTACTCATTTTCATTATTTAGCTTTAAGTGATTCAAGGGATTAAACCCCAATTTTTGAACTTCATTTTCAATATTTAGCTTTAAGTGATTCGAGGGATTAAACCCAACTTTCAACTTCATTTTCATTATTTGGCTTTAAGTGACTTGAGGGATAAAACCCATTTTTCAACTTAATTTTTATTATTTAGCTTTAAGCGACGTGACGTTTTTAGACTCTTTTCATTATAAAAAAAAAAATTTATAAATATTTCAAGATGCCTACTTGAATTACATGAGGTGATATACCCAAAGGCAAAAACATAGTATAACTTTTTCAAAAATTTTAAATTTTCAATTTTTTAAATCGTTGCAACTAAAGTGATTAATGTATCCACCTAGAAATAAGTGACTTAATACGGTTTTTGGTAATTTTTTCTCAATTTCATTTTCCTATAAATTTCTTTATTCAAAAATACACAACGTTAATACAACATAACTACTATTTGTACCATATACCGATGTATGTGTGCAACAATTGTTTTTGATACGACGATTACTTTATAAATACAAAAAATCTAAACAAATTTAAAATCTTTGCAGTTGTATTTGAATAGAACTCAATATTCCCACTGCATGCAAATTTTCAGCCGATGGCCTACTGAAGAAAAGCATAAGTATTTTTCACAATTCGATTTTTTTTTAATATTTTCATTTAGCATGGTGAACGATAGCTTTTTTCTTAAATTTTGAACTTCCACTTCTTTGAGATTAGCCGGTTATGAGCGAATTTGATATACAATTTAAAGCATGTAAAGCAGACTTTAATAAAATTACTAAGCGAATTTTGCAAAATAGACCATTGTCTACGAATGCGAAAAAGTTAAACGAGTATAAATATTCGCTTATTACAGCCTACAATAATATTTTACTACTAGTTATTGCCAATAGTTCGGCTCATACCTGTAATCTCAAGGAAGTTAAACTTAAGTTAGCCCGTTGTAAGGAACAGTTAGAAAAGTGCTTTACTAAACTGAATTGTCGCGTTAGGATTCCACCTGATAGCTTATCTCTAATTTGCCAATCAGACTTATACTGTAGACAGATGGATGGGATTATTTCCATTAGCAGCCTTTATTTGCTTTAACTCGTGCATAATTTCCTCCCAAATTCCCATTGTCTCATTGCACATGCACGAAATAAATGAGCATTAATGCTGGATTTTCCAATTTGCATTTGGCAACACCGCGCAAAATTGACATATTAGGTCCATTCAATATCAAAAAAAAAGTAAGTGCGCCTGGGCCTCACTGGAGAAGTGAAACTTACGTTACATACATATCTATTTTATGTCATAACCAATATACATACATACATACATATGTAAATACATACATACATCTGCTTTTGCTTAAGGTTATATTTTTTGTCTTTTTAACCGACTTCCAAAAAAGGAGGAGGTTATCAGTTCGTCGGAATATTTTTTATTATTATTTTTTTTTTTTTTTTTTTATGTATGTTACCGCATAACTTTGGACCACGTCAACCGATTTCGATAATTCTTTTTGCATCGGAAAGGTAGTGTCTCAGAGGTGGTCCCATACTAATCTCG